CAGCTAAGTTCCCTTTTTCGGGCTCCAAAGTCTGTAGGTCCCTGTTGGGGAGAGGGGAAGCTGCTGCTGTTTGGAACCCTAACAAGGAGGCCGTGTCAGGAGGATGGGAGTTCTAGGCTAGCCCGGACTACAGAGTGAAACCATATCTCAAAACAACAAACAAGGGTGTTCTCAGTGGTAGACCATTTGCTTATCACGTTCAAGAATCTTAGTTTGATCCCCAGCATTTAAGGGATGGGGGTGCAAAAGAAAGTTCCCAGAAAGAACTGCTTCCTGAGCTGAATTTCCTGCAAGGCTGCAATGACTGTGGAGAGTTTGGAATGTAGCAGATCCAAAGTCTATTCACAAATTATCTGGGGACATCTTTAACCCCATAAATAGCCACACCTCGCCTGCCTCTGTTTCTGAATTAACATTCTTGTGATTAATAAAATGTATTAACTTAGCAGACCACCAGGTCCCACACCAATCAAAAAGCCAAGAATGTCATCATATAAATTTGAGACATATATTAGAACCCCCCCAATCCCACCCCTTTGCTATGACCTGCCTACTCAGTGTATCCACCAATGTATTTGAAGTGTCTTGATTTATGACTTTTGTTTGTTCTGTTACTATAAAAACAATATTACTGGAACATGGAATTTGGGATACCTGAATCTGTGTTCCTGGGCCATGGTTACTCATATTTGGCTCCAGAATAAATGATCTCTTATGCCCTTTGAGGTGAGAATTATGCTTTTGAGTTGACATGGGGGAAGCCTAATGAGTCTCTTGCAATGATTCCTGTCCTTTTCTCTCCAAGTTCCAAGCTGCCCCTAGTGTAACCTTCTAAAACCGCAAACTGAGCACCAGGAGAAAAATGAACTAACACTTGTAAAATATTGACTGGCAATACTGGCACTCTAAGTACTGTAGAAGGTCTATTCATACATATGTGTCATGCTAGTTCCCTTCTTCCGTCTCTCAGGGGTTCAAAGGCATGCCTTTGATGTCCCACCATGTGCTACCTTGGTAGCGACACTCCAGATCTCATTTCCTGGCCTCTGAGAAAAGCCGTCCTGGCTCCAGTACATGTCCTTCTCTCTTCCTTAAACACTCTTCCCAGATTCATTCCTCTTAATTCTAAAAATTTCAACTCCTAAATCGGGCGAGGTGGTTGGTGCACGCCTTTAATCCCAGCAGTCAGGAGGCTGAGGGAGGTGGATTTCTGTGAGATTGCAGAAAACCTGGTCTACCTTGCGAGTTCCTCAGGTTAGCTGAGGCTACAGAGAGACTGTCAGAAGAAGAAAAAAAGAAAAGAAATTCAACTCTTTCCTGTCACCATTTCCTTCTTCGCCCTTTCAGGCCCTCCCAGAGGTTCCTCTGCTTTACCCACTTCTAGCTTAATCACATGCTGAATGTTTACGTTGTTCAGTGTTTGCCTCTCTTCCTAAACTGTAAACTCCCCAAGGGCAAGGACTGTGGTTCGGTTACTGCCAATCAAGGAACCCGGACAGGGAAGATCTCCAAGAACGATGTCGAACAAGTACAAACTTTAAAGTACTGTCCCCTTTAGGTAACTGATCCAAACTCGCACAGCTGATACAAGATTTGAAGCTCATTCTGAACGCAACCCGGACTGCTCCCTCCAGGCCTGCAAAGCTGGAGAACCCAGGTGGGCTGTGGGGGCGGGGAAGAGTCTTGGGAGTGGCAGGTGGCGAAGATCGGCAGCTGAACTGGGCGGTGCGTGCATGACTCCGCCCAGAAAAAGGGTCACGGGTCACGTGAACCCCGCTGGGCCGGAGGCCGCCTCACCCCCTAGTTGGAATGCGGCCCCGCCCTACCTCCGAGCCAGCAGAACCCGGCTGGCCCAGGGGACTGACGTCAACGAAGATTCGCCGCCACTCTGTCGCTGATTGGACGCAGGGAATCTCCGCACTGGCTTTTGGAAGCCGGCAGGGCGAAAGGGCGGGGCAGGCACGCCCCCTTACCCTCTGAGGCCGCTGATTGGCCCGCGGAGTCTCCGCGTTCGATTTTGGAAGGTCCGCTCCGCCGCTGTCTGCCCAACTGCGGCCGAGGATTGGCTGTTGCCCGGTTTAGGAGCGTTTGCTTTCTCCTGGGGAGCTGTGGCTGCGATCCAGGTGGCCGGGTCAGGCTCGGGGCTGCGTTCTGCCGCCTCGGGCAACCGGGGCATCCAGGTAGGTAGGGCGGTCGTCTGGCCTGGCTCTGCGCTGGAGCGGGCGCGCGGACTGTCAGAGCCCGGGTTCCGCCGGGGCGCGCACCCCCGGATCCATCCCGGGGCCTGTGGTTCTGCCGAGCGGCCACGTCTGCGCCCCGGGGCCCACTGTGCTGGGGATGTCGTTCAGTAACTTCTGCCAGGATACCCTCTTCCCAAGCCCTAGGCCAGTTGGTGACCTCCCCTTGGCCTTTGCTATCACCTTTACGGCAGGAAGTCCAGCGCTGCGCCCGCCCTTTCGAAAAGCCACTGAGAGGAGAGGTTGAAGTGGGCGCGTCTTAGATGCCCCATCCCAATTTGAGGTGCTTGGGGCTGCCCTGCAGCATGGCGCGAAAGCGTTCCAGGGGGCTCGGCTCTAGCTCCGACTCCAGCACAGACTAGCTTGCGAGTCCTGTCTGCGCTAGCGATCTCCAAAATCCTCAAATGCAGATAGCAGACACCCAGAGGTTTCAGAACCTTCTGGACTCTTTCCCCTGAAGACCTTCTCAGCCATCTGTCAGGAATAAAAATAACACTGAGAGCGTAGGCCCTGGGGTCAGACCACCTGGTTCATTGCCCAGCCTCTTTCACCTCCAGCCATGTGGCGCTGAGCAAGTAACTACTTTAAGAGCTCTGCTTTCTCATCTGTAAAACAAGTTTTAACCGCTTCACATAGTGGTGTACACCTTTAATCCCAGGACTCAAGAAGCAGAGGCAGGTGGTTCTCTGTGAGGAGCCAGCCTGGTCTACATAGCGACTTTAAGGCCAACCAGAGTTGCGTAGTGAAATCCTCTCTCTCTCTCTCTCTCTCTCTCTCTCTCTCTCTCTCTCTCTCTCTCTGAATCTGTTTCCCCACTTATCAAACAAGAATATTAACCATTCCAGCCTCACATGAGTTTCATAAGGATGAAGAAAGTCAGGTGAGTCAGTGCATCAAAGGTGGACCTTG